TGTGTGACAGCCCAGTAGCCATCTAGTGCAATGCTGACTTCCCTACAGCTTCTTCTAGTGAGCTTGTTCTCTGGTCGTGTGTTGGATGCTAGGCTCAAAGCACCTTTGAGGTTCTTAAAGTATTTCACAGGTGAGATGAATTTCTTCCTACCTCCAGCTAGAAACCATAAGGATTGCTTTTGGGTTCATTGTCTGATACTGCTCAAGCTGTCAGAGAAATGAAGGCAGTGTGAATTAAGATGCTATCAAAGGTGAGCAAATGGCAAAGGGTAATGCTGATGTCTCACACTGGGTCTGGCAGGACATCTGTCTTTAGGTAGTAATGGAACTGAGGGTGGTGATAGTGGCAAGGTCTGGAATTGGGCTAGTGATGAGAGTAGGGTTGGGAATTACCACTGCAGCTGGTACAGATACAAAATTAGCTGCTGAATTCAGATTCTGTGGCTTGAAGTCTAAGTAGGGCTTAGAGCATCAGAGCTCTCAGTGAGCAGAGCCCAAAAACCACTGGGATAGGAACTTCCTTGTGGCCCTCCAATGAAGCCTAGGAGGGGGAGGCTGGAGGTAGGCTTTTCATTCTCCCGTATGGAGCCAGTATCCCTGTGAAGTTCCTTTTGATGGTGGCTAGGGCATTGTTCAGCCTCCTGTCCCAAGTATTGTCTTCCTCTTAATTAGGAAAGCTGCCTTCAAGACAGCTTTTTGTCATGAACTGCAGTATTACATCACTTCCTTTTCTCTTGCTGTCTTGAGCTTGGTGGTTAGGTTTGGGGAGCCTGCAAGCACCTTCCTGTTGTGCAAGACTACTTAGAAGGCATGATTGCAGCAGGAGGAGGTACCAGTGTCAGCACACAGCAGAACTACCCCCAAAAAACTGTGACCAGCCCTTGTTCTGCCTCAGTTTCTTTACCTGACCTGAATATGGTTTGGCTTTGCTGTGCACTGCTGGAGTAGTAGTCTATTTACAGTTAGCCTGGTTGAACACACAGTGACCTATTTGTGTACTTTCTGTATTTTGAAATATCATCCAGAACTATCTCTTAATGCTGAGCTGTATTTTGCCTGTGCAGCCTAATAATTTTCTATTAATACTTAGGTCTGATCCATGTAAAAGTGCAGTATCAAGTAAGGTTCTCATGATATTTTTAAGCAATCTAACCTTTGGTCCTGGCTAAATTCCAATTGGAATAATTACTGTCTGACTACCTACATTCCTCTTACATTTTCAATTGGAGAAGTTAGCTTTCACTTCCCATTTTGAAAGTGATTGTGTAACATTGCTCTGCAGCAAGTACACGCTGCATTCCCCTACAGTGGTGGATATATTTTATTGGTAAGTAAAATAAGATTATAGAGGTGTAATGATTTTACTGGCATGTTTATACCTAAATATAGATATGTCTGTAAAACCACTTTATCTAACGGCCCTACCATATATTATTTTCTAGGGAGTCAGAGACAATATAATAGTGTGCAGTAATGTGTAAAGGATTTACGTACCAGTCTGGAGTTTGGGATTTACTAAATTGTTTTGGAGTGCCATAATCACAGAAAATACTTCGAACACTGTGCTGCCCCACACCACCTCTAAAGGAAAATCTGCTCATGTAAAATACTTGGTAATAAAATATACTTGCATATTTTTATAAACATTCTTGGCTGGTGAAATTGTACTGTAAAATTATTAAAATTTCTTGAAATGACAAAGGGTAAATGCCCTGTTTTACAGCTGTAGCCTTGTCAGGTGCTTATGAATTTCTTTGTGTGTGAATTTCTCCATCCCCCTTTTCACTGGAAACAGGAACACACTTAGAAGGAGGTCTGTATGCTGCCTCCAGTACTCTCTTAATTGAGTACCTTGAATGTTTGCACTTGAACACTGTGGAAATCACAGACAAAACTTGTTGCTCTGTATGCAGAAACACATTTTCGCAGTAGTTCTGGGGTCCCCTTGATCTGATAGTAAGTCTGTGGTGGTTCACACCTGCCTTGTCTCTACTAAAGTGAGCCAGACCAGAGGAGGAACATGAGGTGAGGTTGGTGTTGGGATGTCCTTTCTGTTCCTTCCTCTAACAGCCAGCACGTGCATGTGGGCAGCTGTGTGAAGAGTGACTACTGATGTGAACACAAGTCAGCCCCAAGGAGGGAAGGGATTGTAACACCATAAGCATCCCTGATTTAGTCTTTGAGCAGCTCACCCCTACGCTGCCTTGTGGGAGCTAAATGGTGAAAACCACACTCTGCCCTGGGTTGGGTGTGATTTATTGATGTTCTCCTGCCTTATCACATCCCCAGCTCCCATCCTATGAGGGAGCCCAGCCTGGACCTGGTACCTGCTATTCCCTTAGAAGAACTCTGCTGTCTGTCACACAGACTGCCCATGGAGCACCTGAAAAATATCGTGAGCATGACAGATGTGTTATGTGTGAGTGAGAGATGGAGAGAAAGATGTCTTGGCTGGTACAACACAGGGTACCCAAGCATTGCTCTGCCTGATCCAGAGAGGGCTTGTGGCTGAGGATCTGAATTGGAGATGGCAGGTTGGCTACCGAGCCACAGAGAACCTCCTCTTGGAATGAGCTTCTTCCTAGCCCTGGCTGCTCCCTGCATATCTGGCCAAAGCCTGAGGATCTGGCACTGTGCAGATAACTCCATCTTGTATTGAATGGAAAAATCTGCCTGAGTGGGGCACAGACACCCAACAGATTGGCACCTAAGTGCTCTTCAGGATCTAGACTCTCTTCTCCTGCTTGGAGGTAGATGCTAGAGATTTATTTGCTTTAATGCAGGTGAAGAGTAGGGAATAGGTTTCTTGGCTGCCATTTTTTCCCACTGGGAGAAGCATGTGCATGAAGGTGACAGCTGCCATGACTGCTTGTATAGCTCCTTCTTGAATGCTGTCTGAGCCCTGGGTTGGAAGGCCCTGTACATTATTCCTGGTGGGAAAGGGGCTGGGAAAAACCTACACTCTCCTCCCTGGGCATCACAACTAGCCATTGCCTAACCAACCATAATACACTGTATGAGTCGATGCAGAGGGACTGCAGGAGACATATTTTAAGAGAACAAATATAGCATTTAAGTGAGTGAGCAAGAGAGTGAGAGACAGAGAGCGTATAGAGTGCATTAAAGTTAATAAAGCATTGCAGAAATGGGGACTGCATTTCACTGTGAAGGAATCTAATTTAGTGACTCGTAATTGGAGGATAACAGTCATACTGGAATGAAGTTAACTGTTCATTTTGCCAAACTCTCAAAGTCTCTTGGTTCTCCTTGTGAGCATCTCTCAGAAAGTGAATCCTTCAGAGAGCTCAGAATCGATTGGTGCTTCACACCCGCAGTCCCTTTCAGCTTCTTAAGTGGATTTGGTTTCTCTGCTGCATATTTATTATCTATTTTATTATCTGCTTATTTATCTGGTAATCTCAATGCAGGATACATCCTCTCTGCTTAGCATAACAATGAGGGAGCAGGTGTTGAGCCTGTGTGTTCTCCTGGGCAGGGCAAGATGGGGCCTCTTGGGCCTTTTCCCTGTGGGCTGGTGTCATCTAGGGATGTTTTTGGACTTCCTGCTTCCACAAAGTTTTGCCAGCATTGTCCCTGCTGCTGTGACTTTCTGTTAGTTTGACAGAGGCATGTGTAGCAATGAACAGAATGGAAGGGTCCCATTCTTGGACACCCAAGACCAGAGGCGTAGCACAAAGAAGTGCAGGGCTGGTGTATTTATTTCAAGTGTGCCTGGTTGCTGAAGAACAGAATTCTGGGCATGAGTAGCTAAGCAGGACCTGTTGTTTGAGGGAAAATCTTCTTTAGTTTGAAATGCCTGAAATCTCCTTGGGACATCAGTGTGACTCTTGGTGGGCACACCAAGCAGTGCTAGCTCCAACAGGTGTGGTGGGCAGATGGGGGGACACTGTTCTGTTGTCTCTGATATTTACACTGCATGGGTGTTGTAAGAATTAGTTCATGAGTGTTTGTAGAGTGCCTTGAGGATGAAAAGCGCTGTGGAAATGTGAACTATTATTAAAGTGGGACTGAATAAAGAAAGAGCGAGGAACAGTCCCACAGGGAACTGTCCCACTCAGGCAGGGGCTGGAGAGATGACCTCATCAGGTTTTCTTCATCTCTACTGTTGTGATTACAAAATAAAGTGGACACGCTCAGGGGGAAGATTAATGTGGCATGCCTGGCTGTAGTAGCTGAGGGTGAACCACTGTAAGCTCTGTTGGCATTTCTACTTCTGTGCAAACACAGCTGTCATATGGACTTGGAGGATCCTGATCCAGTTTTGGCCATGACAGCTGGGAAATTTTGTATTCCTGTTTTTCTTCTTATTTTTTTTAAAAATAATCCTGTATTGGTGGAAAGCATATAGTTGACTGTACTACACACTGGAGCTGCGTGTGTCCTGATGGTGTGTGCAATGGATACACACATACATATACATCCAGTGATCTTACCCATTTGTCCTCACTTTATTCTGGAGGGACTGTGCTGAGAAAGGAAAAGGGAGTCCCCATCTGCCTGGTGTCCTCAGTCTCCCTGCCTGTACCTCCAGCACAAGTCCAAACTGATCGCAAGCACCAGTCATTCCTTTGTGTTGAGGGTGAGCACTCTGACATGGGCTTGACATAAGCAATTAATTTCACAAAGACAGCTGATCAGCTGTCAAAGGACAATTCTCTGTCACTTTTGACTTGGGTCTCAAAGTGACACAGGACCTGAGAGATGACATGATCCCATCTTCTGCTGACAGCTGTTCTCTTAAGTGATGCCAGACTGAAGTAGGGGGCTGAACTGGTCTGACCCCCCAACTTTAACAGAGCCTGAATATAGCCAAAGGGCTCGGCATCAGACTAGAAGGATCCTTGGGAGGAGAGCTAGTGGCTGAGCATGATCAATGGATCTACCTCGAAGGCTGAGTGCGTGATTGACTTGTCAATTAATCACTTTGTTTTACTTTTCCCCCTTTTTTCTTCCTCGCTCAGGGAGTGTAAGAGCCGAAGATGAGGCCCAGGGTGGAGTGCTACTCTCCAAGGTTTTGGCTGGTGCTGGCAGTCCTCGCAACAACAGGGAGCGGGGCCCATGCCCAGAAAAGCCACCCGAGCATTGGCATTGCGGTCATCCTGGTGGGGACCTCGGACGAAGTGGCCATCAAAGATGCCCACGAGAAAGATGACTTCCACCACCTCTCAGTGGTGCCTCGGGTGGAGCTGGTGGCCATGAACGAGACAGATCCCAAGAGCATCATCACCCGCATCTGTGACCTCATGTCTGACCGGAAGATCCAAGGGGTGGTATTCGCTGATGACACAGACCAGGAAGCCATTGCCCAGATCCTGGACTTCATCTCTGCCCAGACCCTCACTCCCATCCTGGGCATCCATGGAGGCTCCTCTATGATCATGGCAGATAAGGTAAATTTAAATGAGCTTCCTTCTGTTGCAGACCTGTGGATCCAAACTTAAAACAAAGAGAGGTATCTTATTCTGTGATCCTCAGGTGGTGTCTCATGGGGCCAAAGGCTTGGGGGATTAGGCAGCTTCAGATTCAAAGACAGATTAAACGAGCTAACTGTGTGTAGCACTACTGAGAAGAGCCTATTAATCATGTGGAATTATCTGCAACAGAGAAAAACTGAGGAGGGAAAGAAGCAGGTAGAAGAGACCCACAAAAGAATCAGCCCTTTTCTTCTTCTTTAAGAAGGGTAAAGAGCCCCTGCCAATTGTAATTTTTTAAAGGTTTTATTTTTGCTTGTGTTTTACTTTAGAAGAGCCAGGGATCATAGCCTGGGTTTTTTCCTGCATGTAGCTGGAGGACATTGTGGTATTTTCAGGGATGCTTAATACAGCTCTTACATCTTAATTGGAATATAATTGAATCTTTAATAAAGCTATCCTCTCTAAAAAGTGTTCATTAGCTCCTGAAGTTAAATAGGTGTTAGCTGAAGTGACTAACCAGTCTGAACCAGTCCAGCTAAATCTTTCTTTTTTCTACTGCACTACTTTATTCCTTCGTGTCACAGACATTTCATTGTTTTCCCAGGCCCTAGCCAGTCTTTAAAGAATTACAACACAAACAAGCCATCCTGCTACTGCTTTTGAACAGGGCAAGATGCAGAGAGGGAGTAGCATCTTTGGCCAGCTGATAACTCTCGGTGAAGCCTCCATGGGGTGCAGGCGGACCTGATACAAGTCTTCCACCTTTCACAAACAGGACACACAGCAATTCACACCTGAATGTGCATTTGGCCAGGTAGTGTGGCTAACAGTGGCCTTGGGGCTACTGCTGGCCAGTGGGAACATGTGAGAGAAGCTGGCTGTCCCTTTTCCTGCAGGCTTGAAGCCAGACAGTCAAGGCCAAGGCTTTTATTGAGAAGACCCTCTTGACCATTCTTTGTGCATCCCAAAGAAGTAAACAGGGACACAAGCTGACAGTCTTTTTCTTTTACAGACGGCTCTCAAGTGTGTCTGAGACATTTAACTAAGCAGAATCAGGCCTAATTGAATGAAGGGTGAGAACTGACCTGGCCACTATGGCAGCTTCTCCTCAGAAAGAGAGATCTAGTGAGATGAGAAATCCAGGCACATTCTCTTTTATTTACCTTGCAAGTAAATAATGCAGTGCAGGCTTTTGAAGGTGCTAACAAATTATTTTCTCACTTTTTGACCAACCATTCAGTTGCCAAATAACACACGGTTAGTATGCAGTGTTATTTTCTCCTATTGCCCTTTAAACTGACATAGTCACTGAATTATCACGGGCCTTTTTTCTCTCACTCCTTGAATAGTTGCACGTGTGCTGAAGTCCCACTGCCCCATTCTACCCACAGTGAAGCTTTTCAGCTTTGGAGGCCAGGCAGGCAGCAATGCTGCATCTTGATGCTCTCCTGCCTGCAGTGTTGCATGGTTATCTATGTCTGTGCAAAGGAGGGTTGGAAGCAGTGCTCAAGTGCTGCATTTCACACTTGGGGTGACATCTTACATCTTTGAACAAGTGTAAGATTTACTGACAGAAGACCTCCTAAGCACTGGGAAAAGTCCTTGTGACTTTGAACATGGCAGGCCAAATTCTGATTTCAGATTCCCACAGTGCAAATCCAGCATGGCCCTGCTGCCTGTGGCAGGATTAGATCAGATTTACGCCGCAGCAATTCAAAGAGAAATTTGGCCTGTTGAACTTTGAAAAGATTTTTCTTTCTACCTGTCCCTAGTCTCTCCTTGGGAAGGCAGCATCTCCTGCCACTGCCCTGTGTACCCCACTGGCTCGCTTCTAAAGAGTGTTCTGGCAGGCAGGCAGCCCACAGGGAGCTCAAAGGTGGAAGCCTTATGAATGGAAACTTCTATTTTACCAATCTTTTTCTTTTTCTTTTTTTTTTTTTTGGTAGTTTTGCAGACAGGAGGTTTGCAGGTTATGTACAAAGATCTGAAGTTTTAAGAAAGGGCAAGGTTTCTTTGAAAAATAATTTGAAAAGGCTGACCTTTACAACTTCTGATCCACAGGTGTGTAATCTTTAATGGATAATATTTATTTGATGAATTAAATTAAAATATGGTAGAGTGTAAATACACTGAAATTCTACTAAAAATACTGAAGTCAACCTGGTAAGTCCTTCAGCAATTTATTTTCCATTGAGGGCCTTGACAGAGGCTTTGCTTTTAATGACTCTTAGTCATATTCTTTGCAGATGAGTTGTGTGGCTGAGGTTTGATCCTGCAAGCATGGAATGCTACTTTCAGCATCCCCTCAACGCCCACAGCAGTCAGCTGTGATTGAACTTGCTCAGCATTTCACAGGTTCAGATCTGCACTTACAGCTTTGTTAAGCTCCCCGTGTGTTTGTGATCAGTAGTGCCAATGCAAACCTAAGGAATGCTAGAAACCATGAATGTCTTGGTGTGACAGATAAGCCCCTCTTCACTGGAGTTTAATGCAAAAAAAACCTCCCCAGTCAAACCACCTTTCCTGGAGCAGCATGCGCAATTCTGTTTCACCTTCAGTGAGGGTTTAGTAAGTGTTCTGTTAGGAAATGTGGGTCATGTGTAAAAAGGGCTTTGTAATGTACCATGCAGCTGGTAAATTGAGGCACAAAAGGGCAGGCAAAAAGAAAAAAAAATTAGGGTTTCAAGCCTGAATTTTCTTTTGTCTTGTATATAAAGACAGAAATATTGTATAATGTGCCCTATAAGCTGGCTTTATCTCAGTTAATATTCATCTAGAAGTTTGCTACCCACCAGCTGGAGATCTAGGCATAGATCTCTGAGGACAATTCACCCCACCCAATTCAGGGTGCAGTGAAATCCTCATGGGATAGTCCTGTGTCTCCCCACTGGTTACTGAAGAAGGCTGTACCTCAACGTGTTCATGATGTCTCCAGTTAAATGCCATGAACCCTGCCCTAGGTGTGACATAGCAGGTGGAGGTATGTCGATAAAAGTGTAACATCATTTTTTCCTGATTTTTTCAAACTCACATTCTTTGATATTGTATTTTATTAGATTTTGTAAATAATGTTTATATAGTTTATTTTCCCTGTATTTTGCCTTTTTCCTCTGAAAAATAAGTATACGGGAATTTACATGTTTTTGCTGCTTTCACTCCTTGTGGCTCTAATTCCACCTGCGTGCCTGTTACAGAGTGTTACATTTAATTTCTGACTAATCTGGCGTAAGAAGAATGTGCCCAGATGATCTGTGTGCACACTGCGGTCTGGGTTTAGTTCCAGGAAAACGGTGGAGCAGAGACACACAGTGTGCCTCCCTCGAGCTCTGGAGAGGCCGCTTTGCCGAGTGAGAGTTCTGTCACAGCCAGTTCAGTCCCTAGAGCTGGGTGAGCCTGCCAGCAGTGACTCCAAACAGAGTGAAGTGCAGCAGTCCTTTTGTTGGGGCTGGGTGGCCTGGCAGTGATGGCTAAGGGGGTCCCACAGACCCCACATTAGTTCCTCTCCGAGGAGCAAGGCTGTAGCTCTGGAACAGGGTAGAAGAGTGCTCACACTGCTCCAGCTCTGTAAGAAAGCACCTTATTTTAATAGTGCTGGCTCCTTGAAAAGGACTAGGGCAATAGCACCATCTCACCAGGACCTGTGATTAGAAAGGCAATAGCACTGATCACTGGTGATCTGTGTATAAGCCAAAATAGATGAGATGGAGAGGAGAGAAATGTGCACCACCTGCAGAATTAGGTTTCTGTGGCCCAGAAACTTTGCTCTTGGAAGCTTGCTGGTCCCTTCAGTTTGCCTGATGTTGCTGCAATGACCTGCCTTTGAACAGCTTTGTGTTTCCTGATTTAAAGCATTAGTTTATATTGTCTAGAGGACTGCAATGCACATCTGACCAGAGAGCATATCTGCTGGCCTTCCAGCATTGTAAATAATTTATGGTTTCTCCCCACTTGTTTTGAAAGCAGAAATTAAATTGTATGAGGATGCCCTGTGTTAGGAGACTATTGGTGAAAGTAAATCTTCAAGAATGCAAACCAAACTTCAATTCAGATAACCACACAAACCACTATCTTGGGCTGAAGACCTGAAACTGTAAATCTGAACTAAATTTTTCTTCGTTTTCATTTCCATATTACCTAAAATCAGTTCTGCCCAGAGCTAGGAGGTAAAGGAGCAATCACAAAAAAACCAAAAAAACCCAAAAAAACCAAAAAACAAAACAAAAAAAAAAAAACCAAAAAAAGGAAAAACATTTATGAATGTACATTTATAGGTATCTCAAGGGAAGAGTAAATTGTTATTTTGATTTACAAAACTATGACCACACCATTTCCCTGACTGGTCCATTTTGTAATGATAGACTATTTATTTGTTTTAAAAGAATGGAAAAAGGCAACTTGGTGATAATGAATGCAGAAAAGCTAAGAACAGAAAATTATTTGGGTTCTCTTACAGCACAGCTGATGGCCATCATTTTTGCTGCAACTGTTCCTCATTACTTCTCAACATTCACGTTATTTTGCCAGAGCTTCTTGTCCTGTGCAGCTTTATAGTAACACAGTGGTGCACAGACAGAAGAGGAAAAAAGTCTTGGAGGAAGAAGATGGTTATGTTTTCCCAGGTGAAAATCAGTCTCCTCTGTCTCTGCATCCCTTGCTGTTCTCTCCAGGGTTTGCCCACACAGGGATACACGCAGTATGCATCAGCATGCTGATGGAAATAAAACGGTGGGAAAGAGTGATCTATTACTCAGCTGTGCCAGTAACACAATTGGTAGAAAAGCTGCATAAAACGAACCTGAAATTTAAAATCTGTTCTAGGCCAGATTCTCCTTCCTTTTTTTCACACAGTGTGGAGCTGGCTTTTCTCTCACTCCCTCCACTAGCCCGTTCTTTTTTCTGATTATACCAAAGCCGCAATGTTTTCTCTGCCTTTGTGTCCCCACTTCATAAATCCCTGTCCCCTTTATTTTGGTTTT